AACAGAAAATAAAGAAATTAAACAAATTAGACGCCAACACACACGCGCGCGCAAATTTTCCCCTTTTTTATTGACTTTTTTGAGGGGTTCGGGGGGTCTCCAAACGTATGGATTTGCAAAAAAAACTTGGAGGGTCAAATTTGACACGATTCTAATATTTTTCCGTTTTATATACGTAACGAGTTGGTAAGTAAAAAGGAGTCGGGGTGGGCGGATTTCTTGACGACTCCGACTCCACAGCCCCGGTTACAATAAACTTTTTAAAACTTTTCAAAATTCGATTCATTTAGAAATTAGATCTTTAAACCGAACGCGTTGTAAATCTATCGTAGAATAAGTAATTATCGATACATTCGTAAAAACTAATTATTGCGCCCGATTTTCCTGCGCAATTAGGGGAGTGAGTGTTCTACGTATGGTACAGTGACGTCATTACTATAACTAATAACGGTGAAATAGAGATATAAAAATCACTTTATTTGTAAAGAAAATCAAAATTTATATTTAAAAATTTACAATCTTAACCCCGACAATAAAAAATGCCGCAAAAACCGAAAAAAATGTACCTATATTTACGCGAAATATCGATAATTTTCTTCCGGAGAAATGTTTCTTGATAAAATTCATTATCTGTACGAATAAAACTTTCAATAATACATCAGTTACAATGACCGATGTTCCTTTATTACATTATTTGTAGTATGTATTATGTATTACACGTGTTTCCTACATTATAGAATAATAATGTGTATTTTTTTACGGTTTTGTACGGTATCTCTACACTCAAAATTAAGCTTTTTGCCGTTTTATAATATTTTAAGGAAAAACGACGGCCGTACCCAAAGCGTTTAGCTGGCGGAAGTAGGGGAAGAGAAGATAGAAAAACGAGAAAGGAAGGATCCCTCCGAGCGGTGTAAATAAGGTTACAATTCTCCGCGCGCTGTTTTTATCCCGCAAAGCCGCGGATCTAAAAGAAAGTCGGAATTGTAGCGTACAGTACGTGGATAAGTAGCGCGCTACGTAAAAGCCAGACAGAGTCGAGTATAATGCTTAAAACTAGAGTAAAGGCTTTAAACCGATACTAAAATAATACGGAAGCCAGCGAGCCTCTAAGAAGCGGAATAACTTAACTAGGAGAATTAGTGAATATACTTATAACTTACATTTAACTTAGCTATAATTTAATTTTAAGTTAGTTATCTTAAATCTAACTTATTACTAAACACGAATGCCGACCAGGAAACGTATGGTGGTTTTATAGCATCGACCCGCTATAATTCCGCGGTTAATAACAGTAAGAAAGAGTCGTCATAAAAACTTTTTGAGCAGCTGCATCAAAAGAGAAATATAAGAAGCGCGTAAGTGTAAACAATGCAATAAAACGTTTGATCTTTCATCGGTGTATCTCTTAGTTTTTTTATGTTTGTAATCTTTGGGCAGTACAAAGAGAGGCTTTGAATCGTATTCATTATAGTAGGCTACAATACGGTATTGATCGAATTGTAAGAATTGGTGGTCGACGTACCCGGACAGACCGAATACGAAACCGCCGCTCGTCTATTTTTCTGCATTATGACAAATCCAAACTGTTTCGACTAACGAAAAACAAAGCCTTATATAAAATAAACTGCGCCTATACGGTATTACGGAGTGTACATTGATTTCATTCTGTTTTCTTGATTCCCGAAACCTGCAAAAATTCGCAAGGGACCGAAATTTCACCGTTTTCCCGCCGCGTGGCGTATAATTGGTTCCACCCGTCTCCAAAGGCGTTGTTTTACGTCCGGTTCCATGTTTTCGAAGATGGCTTTAGGCGATACGGCGAGTAGTAAATCTACAAAGAAAGAAATACGCTGAGGAAAAATATCTTTACCCTTAATCATTATCGAGATAAATATTAAATAATTATGTTTGAATATTATTTGTGAAATTTATAATATCTTTTTAACAATGAGGTTGAAAGATTTTAAACTTAGAAATATTTTTTTTTTTTCAAATTTCTATCAAACATTTTGTAAAATAATTTTCGCTTTCGTTTTCCGTTTGTTCTTCCGTTTCTTAAAAGCATTTGGATACGTATTTTGAAATATCCTTTCGGGTAACTTATTATATTTTATTTACGTTAATACACCGCGTTGTATAATACGTATAGGGAATCATAGATCAATAAATATTACTGCCTTTATCTTATATTAATTGGCAAAGAAATAAAAGTTTAAACTGTACGTTAAATAAGTAACTACTCCGGGCACAACGTATAAATTTACATTCATAAAGTTACTAGGGTAAATACGAAGAACTCGCGAATAAAAATTATTCGTGATAGCGGATAATGAATTTATTGCGTTTCTCGTCCCGTCTTCCTCCATTGCGGTACCCAAAATAGAACCGTCTAAAAACAGAATAGTAGACAATAGTCTAGTAATACCAGGCCTTAATTCCAGGTACCTCACACCTAGAGGAAAAGTGAACGGTAAACGCGTATTAGGGCGCATCGAACGAAAGCGAGCCGACCCGATTTATTCGCGAACTCTGGCCGACAATGAAAAGTAGCCAGGACCTTGGTTAAAGCATTTAATCCGTTGGTTAACGAACCTGGCTAGTAGAAGTCCCGTGGTTTCTGCTTCGAAAAGTCTATCGCTTTCTGCCCTTCCGCATTCTTGGCAAACTGCGACTCAACGCGCGAAAGCAATACAGTAAAAGTCAGATTATAGGGTGAGTTCTGCAGAATTTCCCGTTCGAAGTTCTCGAGCCCGTTGCTGGTCGTATCTTTAGTTCGCTGTCTAGCATTATCATTCGAGACGGCAAGAATTGCCCGTATTCTTCGTTGCGAGAAGCCGGGGATCAAAAGGGAGTCGACCTCTTATCGGCACGGATCGGTGAGGTCGCGGGATGGCTTTAAGTTAGTACGTCGTTGGGATAACGTTAGGCTAAATAGCTTACGGGTAGACAACGTCCTGGGTTCGGACTACAATTTCAATATTCAAACAAATATCTAATTCTAAGACTATCGAGTTGTAATTTCCTAACTCTTCGACCGAGAGTTTACATTAATCTACTAAATATAATCTACGTCCTCGGATCCTCAAATACGCGACAGTCCGTCAGACGATCGTAGATCTAGTCCGGGTCTCGTCTGCGTTCCTCGGGAGGCGAAGGTTGGTGGATGAGACTAAGTTCCTGTCCTTTAAAATGTCATTTTGTTCACAAGGGCGTTGGCGCCCGGTGTAGGGTATCCACCCTCTCGTTTTACTCGGTCGTCCGCCCGTTTCTAAAAGTGCGATCCCTTATATTTTAGACTTTTCATCCAATAGCGAGTTTGGATTTCGATCGTCCGACGACGAGTCGTTCTAGCGAGAGAGCGTGTCATCAGACGCGATAACGTCTCTCCTAGGAAGTGGACGGTCGAAAAAGAAAGTCGTATTTCCTGGTTCTCGCCGGCTTTTTCCAACAAGTGAAAAGGTGTAAAATTTTAACAACAAAATATTACATGTAAATTTCGACTTATAAGAAAAAATTTTTCCTCCGTTCGGATCCTCGCACCATTGCCGCGCGGAACCATCTGGAGGGTTTTCTCCGCAGTCGCCGTACGTCTTTCACGCGTTTGAAGAATCGAAGCCACAGTTTTCCCTCCAAAGTAGCGGTGCGGGAGGCGGACTTTGTTACGCGTAAACCATAAAACTACTAAGAGCGGGGAATGGCCGGACACCAAAAACAACCGGACAAATGCCTCGATGCCGGCGGTTAGTACTTTTAAGCCTCGGATGACAGTTTGCATATAAATTACGTTGGTATACTTTCATTTTACTGAAACGAATCTTAAACGCGCGCTATAACAATAACATTATCGTGACATTGTTTTTAGTAGATCGGGCTGGAATTTAGTTGGGAATAACGCATCGTATGAAAGAAGTTTAATATTTATATTATAATAATAACGATAGAAATTAACGGTAGCCATGTTACGCAAATATAGTTACGTTATTAATCACGAAATATTTCTAATCTATTTAATGTCAAAAACTATAAAAGGTAATTCCGTAAGAGCGTATTAAACGTAAATTGAAAAATATTTAAAACGGATGAAAAACGTACCCAAAAATTGCTTTTTATCAGAAAACGGCACATCTAAAACATCGCATTTACTTTTGGTCACTCTCGAGCCAAACCGGAAAACGTAATTTTTAAATTCCGATTCGACGTCCTTCCAATCGTCGGTGGGCGGAATCGTGTCCAGCATATCTTCGGTCTGAAACCGATGGCAGTTTTTAATTCTACCCGACATTAATTTTGCGGAAAGAATATTAATGGGCTACCTTTATGTACTCGGTCCACTCTCGGTCGGTACTCGGCTCTCGTCTGACGGAATACGAAGGTTGTTTGGTAATAAGAACGAAGAAAAAATGTCCTCCGGGCTTCAGAAGCGAAGAAACGACAGAAAATAAGTTTTCCAGATCATTTATAAAATGGAAGACGTAGAAAGACACGACTTTATCGTATTTTTCAATTTCTGTCGATTCCAGTCTAGAAATTATAAATCGCGAAATCCGAGTTTAATTAATACTTTAATTACGCGTATCGGTTTATTCGGTTATCGATATTAGAGAAGTTGCGGCCGACGTTTTCAACGCGAAGACGTGTACGTCGGACGTTCGGCGCCGCTTTCCTGTAAGCCTAGAAGTTTGGCAACGGTGTTTGGGACGTCGAGCATGATTCCACTGACTATCCAAACACCATTGTCAAACTTCTAGGCTTACAGGAAAGCGGCGCCGAACGTCCGACGTACACGTCTTCGCGTTGAAAACGTCGGCCGCAACTTCTCTAATATCGATAACCGAATAAACCGATACGCGTAATTAAAGTATTAATTAAACTCGGATTTCGCGATTTATAATTTCTAGACTGGAATCGACAGAAATTGAAAAATACGATAAAGTCGTGTCTTTCTACGTCTTCCATTTTATAAATGATCTGGAAAACTTATTTTCTGTCGTTTCTTCGCTTCTGAAGCCCGGAGGACATTTTTTCTTCGTTCTTATTACCAAACAACCTTGGTATTCCGTCAGACGAGAGCCGAGTACCGACCGAGAGTGGACCGAGTACATAAAGGTAGCCCATTAATATTCTTTCCGCAAAATTAATGCCGGGTAGAATTAAAAACTGCCATCGGTTTCAGACCGAAGATATGCTGGACACGATTCCGCCCACCGACGATTGGAAGGACGTCGAATCGGAATTTAAAAATTACGTTTTCCGGTTTGGCTCGAGAGTGACCAAAAGTAAATGCGATGTTTTAGATGTGCCGTTTTCTGATAAAAAGCAATTTTTGGGTACGTTTTTCATCCGTTTTAAATATTTTTCAATTTACGTTTAATACGCTCTTACGGAATTACCTTTTATAGTTTTTGACATTAAATAGATTAGAAATATTTCGTGATTAATAACGTAACTATATTTGCGTAACATGGCTACCGTTAATTTCTATCGTTATTATTATAATATAAATATTAAACTTCTTTCATACGATGCGTTATTCCCAACTAAATTCCAGCCCGATCTACTAAAAACAATGTCACGATAATGTTATTGTTATAGCGCGCGTTTAAGATTCGTTTCAGTAAAATGAAAGTATACCAACGTAATTTATATGCAAACTGTCATCCGAGGCTTAAAAGTACTAACCGCCGGCATCGAGGCATTTGTCCGGTTGTTTTTGGTGTCCGGCCATTCCCCGCTCTTAGTAGTTTTATGGTTTACGCGTAACAAAGTCCGCCTCCCGCACCGCTACTTTGGAGGGAAAACTGTGGCTTCGATTCTTCAAACGCGTGAAAGACGTACGGCGACTGCGGAGAAAACCCTCCAGATGGTTCCGCGCGGCAATGGTGCGAGGATCCGAACGGAGGAAAAATTTTTTCTTATAAGTCGAAATTTACATGTAATATTTTGTTGTTAAAATTTTACACCTTTTCACTTGTTGGAAAAAGCCGGCGAGAACCAGGAAATACGACTTTCTTTTTCGACCGTCCACTTCCTAGGAGAGACGTTATCGCGTCTGATGACACGCTCTCTCGCTAGAACGACTCGTCGTCGGACGATCGAAATCCAAACTCGCTATTGGATGAAAAGTCTAAAATATAAGGGATCGCACTTTTAGAAACGGGCGGACGACCGAGTAAAACGAGAGGGTGGATACCCTACACCGGGCGACAACGCCCTTGTGAACAAAATGACATTTTAAAGGACAGGAACTTAGTCTCATCCACCAACCTTCGCCTCCCGAGGAACGCAGACGAGACCCGGACTAGATCTACGATCGTCTGACGGACTGTCGCGTATTTGAGGATCCGAGGACGTAGATTATATTTAGTAGATTAATGTAAACTCTCGGTCGAAGAGTTAGGAAATTACAACTCGATAGTTTTAGAATTAGATATTTGTTTGAATATTGAAATTGTAGTCCGAACCCAGGACGTTGTCTACCCGTAAGCTATTTAGCCTAACGTTATCCCAACGTACTAACTTAAAGCCATCCCGCGACCTCACCGATCCGTGCCGATAAGAGGTCGACTTCCTTTTGATCCCCGGCTTCTCGCAACGAAGAATACGGGCAATTCTTGCCGTCTCGAATGATAATGCTAGACAGCGAACTAAAGATACGACCAGCAACGGGCTCGAGAACTTCGAACGGGAAATTCTGCAGAACTCACCCTATAATCTGACTTTTACTGTATTGCTTTCGCGCGTTGAGTCGCAGTTTGCCAAGAATGCGGAAGGGCAGAAAGCGATAGACTTTTCGAAGCAGAAACCACGGGACTTCTACTAGCCAGGTTCGTTAACCAACGGATTAAATGCTTTAACCAAGGTCCTGGCTACTTTTCATTGTCGGCCAGAGTTCGCGAATAAATCGGGTCGGCTCGCTTTCGTTCGATGCGCCCTAATACGCGTTTACCGTTCACTTTTCCTCTAGGTGTGAGGTACCTGGAATTAAGGCCTGGTATTACTAGACTATTGTCTACTATTCTGTTTTTAGACGGTTCTATTTTGGGTACCGAAATGGAGGAAGACGGGACGAGAAACGCAATAAATTCATTATCCGCTATCACGAATAATTTTTATTCGCGAGTTCTTCGTATTTACCCTAGTAACTTTATGAATGTAAATTTATACGTTGTGCCCGGAGTAGTTACTTATTTAACGTACAGTTTAAACTTTTATTTCTTTGCCAATTAATATAAGATAAAGGCAGTAATATTTATTGATCTATGATTCCCTATACGTATTATACAACGCGGTGTATTAACGTAAATAAAATATAATAAGTTACCCGAAAGGATATTTCAAAATACGTATCCAAATGCTTTTAAGAAACGGAAGAACAAACGGAAAACGAAAGCGAAAATTATTTTACAAAATGTTTGATAGAAATTTGAAAAAAAAAAAAATATTTCTAAGTTTAAAATCTTTCAACCTCATTGTTAAAAAGATATTATAAATTTCAAAAATAATGATTAAGGGTAAAGATATTTCTCCTCAGCGTATTTCTTTCTTTGTAGATTTACTACTCGCCGTATCGCCTAAAGCCATCTTCGAAAACATGGAACCGGACGTAAAACAACGCCTTTGGAGACGGGCGGAACCAATTATTCTCAAATACGCCACGCGGCGGGAAAACGGTGAAATTTCGGTCCCTTGCGAATTTTTGCAGGTTTCGGGAATCAAGAAAACAGAATGAAATCAATGTACACTCCGTAATACCGTATAGGCGCAGTTTATTTTATATAAGGCTTTGTTTTTCGTTAGTCGAAACAGTTTGGATTTGTCATAATGCAGAAAAATAGACGAGCGGCGGTTTCGTATTCGGTCTGTCCGGGTACGTCGACCACCAATTCTTACAATTCGATCAATACCGTATTGTAGCCTACTATAATGAATACGATTCAAAGCCTCTCTTTGTACTGCCCAAAGATTACAAACATAAAAAAACTAAGAGATACACCGATGAAAGATCAAACGTTTTATTGCATTGTTTACACTTACGCGCTTCTTATATTTCTCTTTTGATGCAGCTGCTCAAAAAGTTTTTATGACGACTCTTTCTTACTGTTATTAACCGCGGAGTTATAGCGGGTCGATGCTATAAAACCACCATACGTTTCCTGGTCGGCATTCGTGTTTAGTAATAAGTTAGATTTAAGATAACTAACTTAAAATTAAATTATAGCTAAGTTAAATGTAAGTTATAAGTATATTCACTAATTCTCCTAGTTAAGTTATTCCGCTTCTTAGAGGCTCGCTGGCTTCCGTATTATTTTAGTATCGGTTTAAAGCCTTTACTCTAGTTTTAAGCATTATACTCGACTCTGTCTGGCTTTTACGTAGCGCGCTACTTATCCACGTACTGTACGCTACAATTCCGACTTTCTTTTAGATCCGCGGCTTTGCGGGATAAAAACAGCGCGCGGAGAATTGTAACCTTATTTACACCGCTCGGAGGGATCCTTCCTTTCTCGTTTTTCTATCTTCTCTTCCCCTACTTCCGCCAGCTAAACGCTTTGGGTACGGCCGTCGTTTTTCCTTAAAATATTATAAAACGGCAAAAAGCTTAATTTTGAGTGTAGAGATACCGTACAAAACCGTAAAAAAATACACATTATTATTCTATAATGTAGGAAACACGTGTAATACATAATACATACTACAAATAATGTAATAAAGGAACATCGGTCATTGTAACTGATGTATTATTGAAAGTTTTATTCGTACAGATAATGAATTTTATCAAGAAACATTTCTCCGGAAGAAAATTATCGATATTTCGCGTAAATATAGGTACATTTTTTTCGGTTTTTGCGGCATTTTTTATTGTCGGGGTTAAGATTGTAAATTTTTAAATATAAATTTTGATTTTCTTTACAAATAAAGTGATTTTTATATCTCTATTTCACCGTTATTAGTTATAGTAATGACGTCACTGTACCATACGTAGAACACTCACTCCCCTAATTGCGCAGGAAAATCGGGCGCAATAATTAGTTTTTACGAATGTATCGATAATTACTTATTCTACGATAGATTTACAACGCGTTCGGTTTAAAGATCTAATTTCTAAATGAATCGAATTTTGAAAAGTTTTAAAAAGTTTATTGTAACCGGGGCTGTGGAGTCGGAGTCGTCAAGAAATCCGCCCACCCCGACTCCTTTTTACTTACCAACTCGTTACGTATATAAAACGGAAAAATATTAGAATCGTGTCAAATTTGACCCTCCAAGTTTTTTTTGCAAATCCATACGTTTGGAGACCCCCCGAACCCCTCAAAAAAGTCAATAAAAAAGGGGAAAATTTGCGCGCGCGTGTGTGTTGGCGTCTAATTTGTTTAATTTCTTTATTTTCTGTTTTGAGATATTGTTTAATATCTCGGAACGGGTAAAGTTTAAGAAACGAAATGTGGCGCTGCAGCTCGCGTATAAAGGGGCGTTAATACTATTAAATTTTGGTTCTTAATTAAAGGTCGACGGGGTGAAGACATAAAAGTAATCGTGTGTCGTATCTCTTAATTTAATGAATATTTTACTCGTTATTAGCGTTCAAAATTTAAAAAAATAAAATAAAATCTTTACCCTCGTCTTTACTCTCAAAGTAAGCTTTTTTGCCATTTTATAACAGTACGGTAAAACCCGTTAAGATGTTCTCGCCTAAGATGTTAGAACGTATATGGGGACACAATTTAGTTCGACCGCTTTGACTTAAATAACTAACTCCCGCGTTAAACCATCCGACTCCGATTCTGACCACAGAAATTATTAGGCTTCAAACGGGGTGAACGAAATCATGCTCCCCCACACAGTCTAACATCCACATGTGAGGACCCGAACAGGGGTCGATTGAGAGGTCCGAATGAGGGGTATCGATCGAAAATAAAGAGCTCCTTTTCAGACGCTAAGGAAACGGATTAGGTGTCTCGAATGAACAATGCAATTGTTTTTTTTTCGTAAATTTGTTAAACAATGGAAACGGATAAATTCGAAGAAAACGCGACGAGAGAGAGGAATCATATTCAGTCGCAACGTTGACCTCTCCCGCGCCCTTCATTAGGTTTCGAATGGTCACCAGGTGACTATGAGAGACCAATGGAGAGGCGACGACGGTTAAGAAATCTATAAAACCGTGCGACTCAAGGGACAAAGGTTCTTGATTCTTAGTTCTTGGTGCTCCTCTCCAGGATTTTTGTGATCCTACTTATCAACAGCGACCGATTCGTCAACTCCTGTGACTTACTGTCGCTCTCCCGCGACGTCGTGATTTGCACGGATTTGCCTTTCACCGGAGACTTTCGCCGAAGCTGTGCCGCACGCCCCGGGGCCGTCGATATCAACGTACGACATCGAAGGACCAAACGGAGAAAGTCGGACCCTTGAAGGAACTTTTAATTTGTTCCCCGAGCTGTGTTACGTTGAAAATTTGAAGAACGTTGTAAGAATCTTTTGTTATATAATAAACGGGTTAAAAATGGTAAACCTGTCTCAGAAAGTCATTCTGCGCCCACACGACAGAAAGAACCGCTCGGCTGTCGAAAAACCCTCACCCTAATCGGCTGACCTCACACACACATAGAAAAAAACCTCGAATCTTTCGTATATCTCGAAATTTCCAGGTGTCCCGAGTCCAGAAATGTAAAAATTTGGAAGGGGTCATTTTTTGACCGAGCGCTACGCTTTTCCTCTGTTATATAAGGTACTTTTCCTAAATATGTCGAAAGCTCTGATCAACCGCTTAGTCTACTTGTAACGAGTGACAGCGGTACGATAACGTATACATTATTTCACACGTGNTACGTTATAGGAATTGTCGTTATAGGAACGTACGTTATAGGGGGGTCGACTGTATTAAGGGAAACTATTTTATTTGAAGTTTAAAACTATTTACAAAAAATTAATGTAAACGGTCGTCATACAAAACGTACGACTCCCGTTTACGTTCGCTTAACCTTCCGTATTCGCATTAGTACCAGTGAAAATGAACATGGCAAAGTTATGGAGTAACAGAGAGTACGCGAGAGAATATAGGTTCGAGTTAAAACGTCGACACTTTCGATTTAACGAGATGGCGTTTGGGGAAAAACCCTACGGGGTCTGTAGACAGTTACGCGTTAACGTAGTTCGATTTAGAAAGGTTTTAATATAACGTATCAAATCGGTAGGCGAGATCTCAAATATAGATAATTTATAAAGATACAGTCAAATAACAAACACAAAGTATGGCGAAAGACTCGCCTACAAATGCGAAAAACACAAATTTAGTGCGTGTCGACCCGTCACGTTACGACAAAAATGTAACTACGGTATATAAATACATTTTACTATAAAGGCACGTATAAATATCAGACTTTAATTATACTTAAAATTTAAATCACACTAGAGAAAGAGTCGATAGTAAACGAACGCCAAACCAACGTAACAATCTTTATTACGTAGTTTTTTTATTAGGCACGGCTCGAATTTCCTCTAGAATAACGCATCGTGTCTATACGAAATGTGTTTTATATTTATTTAATAATAATAGAAATTAATATCGATAAGCCTCCGAAAATGTAATACGTTAGGTTCTTTTTTTTTAACTGTGGGCACTAAGAGGGCCTCTTTTCGCCAGCCCATTATGGGTTCGGCCAGGCCCACAATGGAGCTGTCGGGTGGTGAGGGACGGGGCCCACCCCCAGAAAAATTCCAGGGGATTTTTCGACCCGTTCGGATTGGATCCCGGGTCACCCAGAGCGGTAGGTTGCCACCTCGACCGCTGGGCCATCCGGCCTTAATACGTTAGGTTAGCTGGCGTTAAGTTATTAATGGCCGAGGTATTTCGAAATTATTTTACGTTAATAACTTAAAAAGCTAATGCGATAAAATTAAGAAATATTTAAAATAAAATGAAAAATTTACCCAAGAAATGTTTTTTATGGGAAAATGGCACATCCAATACTTCGAGTTTACTTTTTGTCACTGTCAAATCGAACCGGGACACGTAATCTTCGAATTGCGATTCTACGTGGTTCCAGTCGTCGGCCGATGCGGTCGTCGCGAGTATATCTTCGGGCTGAAAGAAATTGTAATTTTTAACTTTCGTCCAGGCGAGTTTTACACGGAAAATATTCAATTTAATAATCGACCTTTACGTACTCGGTCCATTGCTCGTTGGAACTCAGATCCCGCATAATCGAGAATAAAGGGAATTTCGTAAGAAAAATGAAGAAGAAATATCCTCCGGGCTTCAAAATCGAAGAAATGACGGAAAACAATTTCTGGTAATCGTTTATGAAATGGAAGACGTAAATGGATATAACTTTATCGTAATTTCCAATTTCTTGTAAATCGGGACTAAAAATTACAAATTTACGAATTACAATTTATATTTTATGATAAAAACTAGCTGCGAGGACCCGCTTGGCTGGGCAAAAAGTAACGATAGCGAAGATTAAGATAATTACATTATAGCCAATCTTACCCGTTTTCACACAATGCAAGAATTAAGTCCCCCCCGTTTCCAGACGGAACGTCTCCCGTTCACGTCCAGTCAAACGAACTATTTTCAATTTAATCAATTTTCTGGAACGTTTACAATCGTTCTATAATCGAACAAATTCGAATTTAAAACGGTTCGAACATTTTTAAAATCGAAATAGAAAATCTTCGAAGTCAACCACTTTAAACCCCCCTATCTCCCGCACCCTTATGGCTATCGAGACGCAACCACCATAGTGCACGAATGGAGACTCGGGGCCACTACCACATACAAACACCATTCACGTGCGATGCGTAGTAGTTTTGGCTAAAAAGTGAAATATAGGGACACACACGTCCATTTATATATATATATAGATAATGTTTACAACATAATTATTATCGATGAGCTTTTACGCAATATTCTATGTTCTTTCGTTTATTCTCTACTTGTATTGAAAAGCGCCACTTCTTACAGGGAGGTCTTTTTAAGGGAAACTGGTCCCTATTTAGGCGTTACGGACGTGGAGAAAACCCGGAAAACTCCACGTGGCCAGCCAGTACGAGCCGGGCACGAACCCAAGACCGAACTCCCAGTGTTCGGGGTACGAAGACCGCTCGGCCACCGAATCTGACCGAATCTGACCGAGATGGCGCATTTCGTTGTAATTAAAAATTAGTTTTCAATGATGGATAGAAACGCAAACCACTAAGTATCTCGATCTGTAATTAATTATGTACCGTAACGCTTATTAATCGTTGCATTTAGATGGCGCGCCTACAAAGTAAAACAATATTCGCACCACTTACCTTTGAAGGATATCTCGAGTCTTATATTCTATTTTCTCGTGAAAATACGTCTGGCTGGCGTACTCGATGTAATTTGGTATTACGTCGATGGCAACGATTTTCTTTAATTTCCGGCATTTCGGCAAGAGAACGTTCTTGGTGGTTCTTCCGGGACCGCATCCGATATCCAAAATAATATCCTCGTCCGACCATTTCATGGACGGAAGATGTAAATCTAGAGACGAATCCGCGTAGGAAATTAACGATTTCGGGCATAATTTTTCAAAAACTTCGGCTTTTCCTTCCATTTTGTCTACAATTAAAAGTAAATATTTATTTTCGCCGACTCGAAAAGAGAGGGGGCGAAGAAGGAACGAGGGAATATTCTACAAAATGCCGACCGTAAGCCGTGGCAAAGAACCAGATTAGGTTAGGTTATAATATCGAAAGTTTACTAAACGTCGACATTTTCTACCCGCTTTACGTTGGGGTGCGCTTTGTCGATTCCCTATAAATCCTCGTATTTTTCCCCAAACTCGGGGGAATTTTGGTTACGTCGTTCGTTCCGATGGAAAATTTAGTAAGGTATAGAAATATAAACTACCCTATTAGCTTTAAAAAATTTTATCGATTTCGACTGGGCCAGGCGACTTATACCGGCGCGGTCGGTACTTTAAGTTTCACTTTTAAAATAATGTGGCAAACGGCGTAATATTAAAATTACTTTATTAAATTTAAAATATAAACTTTAAATTAAAAAATAGCCGCATGTACGCAATTAAATGCACTAAATAATAAATCGAACCGGGAAAATAAAAAGTAACGCGCTTAAGTAGCGTATAACAAAATAAAATGTAAAGCATTTTTCTGTACCTTTTGCCAGAAGCGGCGATGTCCCGTGTCTTAATTAATGTCACTCCGCGGCCGCTGGTTTCTCCTAAATAATCCTCTGGGAGACGATTTCGCCAGCCAATCGCATCCGCGATACGAGGAGTTTCTTACGTTTCCACGAAAACGCGCAATCTCCCGGAATGCCCACGTTGCGTAATTTCCTTTTTCGTCCTTTCCTCGTTCTTAAAATAAAATTTTCTGTGTGTTTAAAACGACCATAAGGTGTAAAATTTTTGCAAAATTAATATAGGTTAAATCTGAAAAAATAAAAATGTCTTCAATTCTTGGCGTTTTCTAGTCATTTTTATATTATATCCGCGTAAAGTCCGAGCCCCAAACTAACCGAACCCTGGTTTATGTAACGCGCCCGTAGAAAATATATCCGGGCTGTGGAAAGAAACCAAGACGTTAAAAATGTATGAAAGTAATTTAGTTCACTCTTTCAATTTATAAAGCGTTAATATAAGGATATAGGGCGAATCTTCGACGTGGCGTAAACCCGGTAATCGCTTATTTTACGATGGTATAACTTGTCTACTTTACTAATTCTTTTTCTAAGGTATCGCGAAAACCATGGTACAAAACAGCGCGCGAGATTGCGGAACTAAATTATTCCGCCACACCCGAATTTCTTTGTTACTCTATTCTTATTCGATAAGTTTCCTTCTACCGTGTTATCGCGTCGTTATTTTCTACGCTTATCCTCGGTTAACACCCTCTCCGGCTCCGATAGATTCCGATCGATACGATAAACTCGAAAATTAAATTCATCTCGTCGACTTACGACGAAATAATTTTTTTGAATTTAATGCCAAAATCAAAATACGTATGGAAGGAAACTTTCGATTAATAAGCGATAACAATCGGAGTCTTTTTCGTCCTCGAGAGACCGCGCGAATATTAACAATCGACGTCGGCGAGGGAATAGAAAGACTGGGTTAAGTTCTTCTATAAAAGAGACGTAAGCCGTTCCGACAGACGGAACCGTTACTGGAGAAGTTCCGGAATCGGTTGCGGACGTAGTACAAATACCCAGTGGGTGGAAAGTAACTAGGCATTAAGAAATCGCTATAACTTTTACATTTCGAATGAAAATATGACGAAAATGTTTCACCCGTAATACATTCTATATATTTTTTTCGTAATACACACCAGCGAACCGTTCTTATTTAATAAAAACTTTCGATTCTATTCTATTATTAAACAACCCATTATCGGGTACTATGGTAAAAACTATTTATCAAAACCGAATGTCGACGATCGAACGACGAACGTCTCTGTATCGAGGAGAATCGTTTCGTCACACGCACGAAAACGCCATAACAGAAAACGAAACGACATTTCGAAATACGAGAATTCCCGTAAGGAAAACGCGCGAATAGTTTTACACGTTTCTGCTTTTCGTCAACGACCGAAGCTGTAAGAAAAGAGAAAAATCTCTTTTAATATCGCCCAGCCATTTTTAATTAAAATTTGTTTAGGTAATTTAGAATTTAGAATTACGCATTCCTTTTTTACAAATGTTATACGAAACGAGCAAATTCTAACCTTCGACGTTTATACGTTCGTTTATCAAACGCTATTTATATTTGGCGTAGAAAGATAAGTTTGCGCATTGACTTGGTCTCGAATGGATAACGATATCGCTTACGTCGTCGTCGTTATCGCTCGTCTCCGTATTAATTGATGCGGGACGGAGGAAGAGTTAAAGGAGAGAAGATTTCCGATTTGGACTTACGACGGCCGAAATTGCCCGATCTCCGTTTCGAGGTAAGGATTAAATTCTAGCGAAACGTTCCTACAACTTCGATAATGCAAACGTTCGTTTATAAACTAAACTTTTTTCGGCTGGTAAATTCTCATTCGTTTCGATTATAAAAACTAAAGTTTACGCTATTTCCGACATTTAAATAAATTTTCAAAAGTGGTTTAATTAAAGAATTTTACGTATTTTGTTAAGTAACCGGTGCCCGGAACTAAGAACGTTTAAGGAATTAATGGCGAAAAGCGGGTTGGAGTAGCCGCGGAATCGCCTTACTTCGTAATACTTTAACTTAGAAACGTCTATCTTTCGCCACCATTTTCGATAAAGTAGAAATAAAAAGAAATACTCCAATGACTTTATAAACGAATTCTTATTTTTAAAATAGTGAAAATAAATTGTTTTTAAGTAATAAATATCGATATAACTGGACTTATATAAGAGACATTGTTATATAATTGACTTACACAACTGCCGATAAACGTTCCAACGTCCAATTCTCTAGAAATTGCCACGGATTAAACCTTTACTCGTTGTCGAATAAAGTTCGCCAGTTACATAAAACCCGTATAACCGAGTGTGGATTTCGATCATCATCAAATCTAAATAAAAAAATATCGTCGTAGCGCATCGGTCGTTTAAAAAATAATTCTATTGATTCGAAGGTTCGTTTTATTTCGTATTTTTCCCCATTCTCGTAGCAAAGTTTTTTAAATCTATTGTATAAAACGCTTTTTGTCCAAAATTTCTGAATTTTTGCGGGGAGGTTTGTTTATTAGGGAATCGACGCCATTAAATTTTAATAGTTAATGGTCGAAGGGGTGGGAAAGTAAAGGGAATTGCGTCGTTTCTCGAGTAGGGTGGGATTTAATGACCAGTTTGCTCGTTATTAGCATTTACATCTTTTCGCGTAAAACCCATTCCTCTCCTTAAAATTAAGCGTTTTGACATTTTATAACGGTTAAAAATGTAAAGTTTTTAAAAATAAAATATGATTCCGCGAAAGTTAAGCGACTCGTTACTGGATTTTTTGTTCCGTTACTCGGCAGTGGCGGTTTAATACTTAAGAATAGACAAGTTTCCACGCATAATCGAACGTTGGTATATTTTTAGTCAATTTTAACACTATTTTGAGTAAGATTTGTAACGGGGGAAAAATGATAATAAATAAAATATTTCGCGATTTAACGTTATTTATTTTTATCTCGTAGCGAATTAGACCGGTGGAACATCCTTCGAGTTACGGTGGAGAAAGCCGGGAATATTTTACCAGCGATTTGTCCGTACCTTACTTTCTGGTGGCGTCATTACCAGCCTAGACGAATTCTTATCGTCGTAATTAGGAAGGCCCTCGGAACACCCAACAATATAATTAATTCTTTTCTCATTTCGTGCATTTTAGTAAACAAAATGTCCAAATTTATCCTATTAATTTAATGTATCTAAAGGAATTTTTGACGGGTGAAAAAATTCTAAAATTTTAATTACTTTTACAGTTTCTTACCATCCCGCGTTCGAAAGTATTTTTCTATTTAAAACTTAAAATCCCTTTTCGTACAGATACGAATTCCTAATGGCAAGTTATTGTCGCGTGAGAGTGTATTTATAATATTTGTTTTACCGAATATGCCGTCGACCCTTTTTTACTCGTTTACCCGATAAGGATAGTTATTTTTTTTATTCCAGATAATATGGAAGGAACGGCCGAAGAGTACGAAAAATCCTGCCCCGAAATACTCTCTCGCTACGCCGCTTCTTCTGTAGATTTACATTTTCCGGCCATGAAATGGTCCGAGGAGGATGTCATTTTGGATATCGGATGCGGTCCCGGAAGAACCACCAGGAATATTCTCTTACCGAAATGTCCGAAAGTAAAGAAAATCGTGGCCGTAGACATAAATCCCGGTTACGTCGAGTATGCCAGGAAAACATATTTCCACGAAAAAATAGAGTTTAGGATGCGGAACGTCTTCGAAAGGTAACGAAATCGAGTATCGTTACTTTCATTTCCGAACGAACTCGATTAGAACAATAGAGAGGTTGCGGCCGACGTTTTCAACGCGAAAACGTGTACGTCGGACGTTCGGCGCCGCTTTCCTGTAAACCTAGAAGTTTGGCAACGGTGTTTGGGACGTCGAGCATGATTCCACTGACTATCCAAACACCATTGTCAAACTTCTAGGCTTACAGGAAAGCGGCGCCGAACGTCCGACGTACACGTCTTCGCGTTGAAAACGTCGGCCGCAACTTCTCTAATATCGATAACCGAATAAACCGATACGCGTAATTAAAGTATTAATTAAACTCGGATTTCGCGATTTATAATTTCTAGACTGGAATCGACAGAAATTGAAAAATACGATAAAGTCGTGTCTTTCTACGTCTTCCATTTTATAAATGATCTGGAAAACTTATTTTCTGTCGTTTCTTCGCTTCTGAAGCCCGGAGGACATTTTTTCTTCGTTCTTATTACCAAACAACCTTCGTATTCCGTCAGACGAGAGCCGAGTACCGACCGAGAGTGGACCGAGTACATAAAGGTAGCCCATTAATATTCTTTCCGCAAAATTAATGTCGGGTAGAATTAAAAACTGCCATCGGTTTCAGACCGAAGATATGCTGGACACGATTCCGCCCACCGACGATTGGAAGGACGTCGAATCGGAATTTAAAAATTACGTTTTCCGGTTTGGCTCGAGAGTGACCAAAAGTAAATGCGATGTTTTAGATGTGCCGTTTTCTGATAAAAAGCAATTTTTGGGTACGTTTTTCATCCGTTTTAAATATTTTTCAATTTACGTTTAATACGCTCTTACGGAATTACCTTTTATAGTTTTTGACATTAAATAGATTAGAAATATTTCGTGATTAATAACGTAACTATATTTGCGTAACATGGCTACCGTTAATTTCTATCGTTATTATTATAATATAAATATTAAACTTCTTTCATACGATGCGTTATTCCCAACTAAATTCCAGCCCGATCTACTAAAAACAATGTCACGATAATGTTATTGTTATAGCGCGCGTTTAAGATTCGTTTCAGTAAAATGAAAGTATACCAACGTAATTTATATGCAAACTGTCATCCGAGGCTTAAAAGTACTAACCGCCGGCATCGAGGCATTTGTCCGGTTGTTTTTGGTGTCCGGCCATTCCCCGCTCTTAGTAGTTTTATGGTTTACGCGTAACAAAGTCCGCCTCCCGCACCGCTACTTTGGAGGGAAAACTGTGGCTTCGATTCTTCAAACGCGTGAAAGACGTACGGCGACTGCGGAGAAAACCCTCCAGATGGTTCCGCGCGGCAATGGTGCGAGGATCCGAACGGAGGAAAAATTTTTTCTTATAAGTCGAAATTTACATGTAATATTTTGTTGTTAAAATTTTACACCTTTTCACTTGTTGGAAAAAGCCGGCGAGAACCAGGAAATACGACTTTCTTTTTCGACCGTCCACTTCCTAGGAGAGACGTTATCGCGTCTGATGACACGCTCTCTCGCTAGAACGACTCGTCGTCGGACGATCGAAATCCAAACTCGCTATTGGATGAAAAGTCTAAAATATAAGGGATCGCACTTTTAGAAACGGGCGGACGACCGAGTAAAACGAGAGGGTGGATACCCTACACCGGGCGACAACGCCCTTGTGAACAAAATGACATTTTAAAGGACAGGAACTTAGTCTCATCCACCAACCTTCGCCTCCCGAGGAACGCAGACGAGACCCGGACTAGATCTACGATCGTCTGACGGACCGTCGCGTATTTGAGGATCCGAGGACGTAGATTATATTTAGTAGATTAATGTAAACTCTCGGTCGAAGAGTTAGGAAATTACAACTCGATAGTCTTAGAATTAGATATTTGTTTGAATATTGAAATTGTAGTCCGAACCCAGGACGTTGTCTACCCGTAAGCTATTTAGCCTAACGTTATCCCAACGTACTAACTTAAAGCCATCCCGCGACCTCACCGATCCGTGCCGATAAGAGGTCGACTCCCTTTTGATCCCCGGCTTCTCGCAACGAAGAATACGGGCAATTCTTGCCGTCTCGAATGATAATGCTAGACAGCGAACTAAAGATACGACCAGCAACGGGCTCGAGAACTTCGAACGGGAAATTCTGCAGAACTCACCCTATAATCTGACTTTTACTGTATTGCTTTCGCGCGTTGAGTCGCAGTTTGCCAAGAATGCGGAAGGGCAGAAAGCGATAGACTTTTCGAAGCAGAAACCACGGGACTTCTACTAGCCAGGTTCGTTAACCAACGGATTAAATGCTTTAACCAAGGTCCTGGCTACTTTTCATTGTCGGCCAGAGTTCGCGAATAAATCGGGTCGGCTCGCTTTCGTTCGATGCGCCCTAATACGCGTTTACCGTTCACTTTTCCTCTAGGTGTGAGGTACCTGGAATTAAGGCCTGATATTACTAGACTATTGTCTACTATTCTGTTTTTAGACGGTTCTATTTTGGGTACCGCAATGGAGGAAGACGGGACGAGAAACGCAATAAATTCATTATCCGCTATCACGAATAATTTTTATTCGCGAGTTCTTCGTATTTACCCTAGTAACTTTATGACTGTAAATTTATACGTTGTGCCCGGAGTAGTTACTTATTTAACGTACAGTTTAAAGTTTTATTTCTTTGCCAATCGATATACGATAAAGCCAGTAATATTTACTGATGTATGATTCCCTATACGTATTATACAACGCGGTGTATTAACGTAAATAAAATATAATAAGTTACCCGAAAAGATATTTCAAAATACGTATCCAAATGCTTTTAAGAAACGGAAGAACAAACGGAAAACGAAAGCGAAAATTATTTTACAAAATGTTTGATAGAAATTTGAAAAAAAAAAAATATTTCTAAGTTTAAAATCTTTCAACCTCATTGTTAAAAAGATATTATAAATTTCACAAATAATGTTCAAACATAATTATTTAATATTTATCTCGATAATGATTAAGGGTAAAGATATTTTTCCTCAGCGTATTTCTTTCTTTGTAGATTTACTACTCGCCGTATCGCCTAAAGCCATCTTCGAAAACATGGAACCGGACGTAAAACAACGCCTTTGGAGACGGGTGGAACCAATTATACGCCACGCGGCGGGAAAACGGTGAAATTTCGGTCCCTTGCGAATTTTTGCAGGTTTCGGGAATCAAGAAAACAGAATGAAATCAATGTACACTCCGTAATACCGTATAGGCGCAGTTTATTTTATATAAGGCTTTGTTTTTCGTTAGTCGAAACAGTTTGGATTTGTCATAATGCAGAAAAATAGACGAGCGGCGGTTTCGTATTCGGTCTGTCCGGGTACGTCGACCACCAATTCTTACAATTCGATCAATACCGTATTGTAGCCTACTATAATGAATACGATTCAAAGCCTCTCTTTGTACTGCCCAAAGATTACAAACATAAAAAAACTAAGAGATACACCGATGAAAGATCAAACGTTTTATTGCATTGTTTACACTTACGCGCTTCTTATATTTCTCTTTTGATGCAGCTGCTCAAAAAGTTTTTATGACGACTCTTTCTTACTGTTATTAACCGCGGAATTATAGCGGGTCGATGCTATAAAACCACCATACGTTTCCTGGTCGGCATTCGTGTTTAGTAATAAGTTAGATTTAAGATAACTAACTTAAAATTAAATTATAGCTAAGTTAAATGTAAGTTATAAGTATATTCACTAATTCTCCTAGTTAAGTTATTCCGCTTCTTAGAGGCTCGCTGGCTTCCGTATTATTTTAGTATCGGTTTAAAGCCTTTACTCTAGTTTTAAGCATTATACTCGACTCTGTCTGGCTTTTACGTAGCGCGCTACTTATCCACGTACTGTACGCTACAATTCCGACTTTCTTTTAGATCCGCGGCTTTGCGGGATAAAAACAGCGCGCGGAGAATTGTAACCTTNGAGACTTTCGCCGAAGCTGTGCCGCACGCCCCGGGGCCGTCGATATCAACGTACGACATCGAAGGACCAAACGGAGAAAGTCGGACCCTTGAAGGAACTTTTAATTTGTTCCCCGAGCTGTGTTACGTTGAAAATTTGAAGAACGTTGTAAGAATCTTTTGTTATATAATAAACGGGTTAAAAATGGTAAACCTGTCTCAGAAAGTCATTCTGCGCCCACACGACAGAAAGAACCGCTCGGCTGTCGAAAAACCCTCACCCTAATCGGCTGACCTCACACACACATAGAAAAAAACCTCGAATCTTTCGTATATCTCGAAATTTCCAGGTGTCCCGAGTCCAGAAATGTAAAAATTTGGAAGGGGTCATTTTTTGACCGAGCGCTACGCTTTTCCTCTGTTATATAAGGTACTAGGTCTACTTTTCCTAAATATGTCGAAAGCTCTGATCAACCGCTTAGTCTACTTGTAACGAGTGACAGCGGTACGATAACGTATACATTATTTCACGCGTGAAATAAAGTTTATCGGTAAAACAAAATCGAAACATTATAAAAATTCTCGGGTTTGGCATAGGTGTAACGAGAAAGTACCATTCGCTCGACCATTTTTGTCAATTTTTATAATGACGCGTAAGCCATATAAAACCTAAAATTGTTTTAATTCGATACAGAATATATTTTTAATAATTATCGATCTATATCCAACGAGACTTAAAATGTTTCGAAATTTTTACCTGTTAATAATTTACTGTACAATAATAAACTTTATATAGTTTGATTATAATTTGTAACGAGTAGACAATGACGACGTTAATAAAATTTTAATTTTTAAACGTCTGAACTTTTTAATTTAATAAATGACTCGAAATCAATATTAAGTTAATAATTTAAATAATTATGTGTTTTCAATGCGTATTATTTATTTAAGCTATTCGCCTTCGTTACAACGAATCAACCAACTAGAATATAGTACATAGAGTGGCTGAAGCCACGCCACGTTTGAGGAAAATTGAATACGCGCCCGCCATTTTCCTTTTAGTCGAGGGGACGTGGCATTTGTTTCGCGTAAAGGCAACGAGATGGAATATTGCGACTCGTCGTTGCCACCGAGAGTACTACTGTAACTACGATCGCAGCCACTTTACGTAGTATATTCTAGCCGGTTGCAATTAATTCGGGTCCCTGTCGCCAAACGTTACAATTAAAATTATTTAAGGAATTACTCTCCCACAAATTTGTCTTTATCCTAAGTTTCATTTCCCCACTAAACTTATTTCTCTTCTAATTCCATTTTGAATAAACAAATGCGCGTTAATGTCGTTAAACAATTTGAATTTTTGTCATTTTAAATCTACAATTCCGGGTTAAATCTGAAGCGGTTATAATATATATATCGCATCTAATTATAACATTTTAAACTTACCTTAAACCTTAATATTTTCTCCATTTAATTCATTATAAAAACATTTTTTCGGGGGTTAAAGATGTTTCGTATATCTTCGTGTTTAAAATATGGAAAAACTTCTTTTCTTCTCGACAAGTCTTTATTTTTGTTGCCGTAGAAAAATTTGATATAAAAAATTCCGGCCACGAGTTGCTTAACTTACCCCACAACATTTGGTGGCACCATCTGTTATGATATTTTATTTAAAGAAACTTACATTTTTAACTATTATAAAATGGCAAATAGCTTAATTTCGAGGGTAGGGACGGGTTTTATAAAAAAAAAAGTTGTAAATGCTAATAACAGATAAAATCGTTATTAAGCCTGACCCTACTGAAGATACACACGACCCCCATTATCTCCCCATCCCCTCGCCCTTTAACCTTCAAAATTGAATAGCATCGACACTCTAATAAACAAACCTCCCTGTAAAATTTCAGAAATTTTCGACCAAAAGCGCGGGAATTATTAAGCTTCAAAAAGGGTGAATAAAATGGTGCCCCCATACATACAGAAACGCCACATTTTTTCCATTTCTCGACGTTTTGGTCTTCAGATTCAACAAATGTAAAAATTTTGGGGAGGGGTCATTTTCTGACCGAGCGCTACACTTTTCCTCTGTTATATAAGGTACTAGGTCTACTTTTCCTAAATATGTCGAAAGCTCTGATCAACCGCTTAGTCTACTTGTAACGAGTGACAGCGGTACGATAACGTATACATTATTTCACACGTGAAATAAAGTTTATCGGTAAAACAATATCGAAACATTATAAAAATTCTCGGGTGTAGCGGCATAGGTGTAGCGAGAAAGTACCATTCGCTCGACCATTTTTGTCAATTTTTATAATGACGCGTAAGCCATATAAAACCTAAAATTGTTTTAATTGATACAGAATATATTTTTAATAATTATCGATCTATATCCAACGAGACTTAAAATGTTTCGAAATTTTTACCTGTTAATAATTTACTGTACAATAATAAACTTTATATAGTTTGATTATAATTTGTAACGAGTAGACAATGACGACGTTAATAAAATTTTAATTTTTAAACGTCTGAACTTTTTAATTTAATAAATGACTCGAAATCAATATTAAGTTAATAATTTAAATAATTATGTGTTTTCAATGCGTATTATTTATTTAAGCTATTCGCCTTCGTTACAACGAATCAACCAACTAGAATATAGTACATAGAGTGGCTGAAGCCACGCCACGTTTGAGGAAAATTGAATACGCGCCCGCCATTTTCCTTTTAGTCGAGGGGACGTGGCATTTGTTTCGCGTAAAGGCAACGAGATGGAATATTGCGACTCGTCGTTGCCACCGAGAGTACTACTGTAACTACGATCGCAGCCACTTTACGTAGTATATTCTAGCCGGTTGCAATTAATTCGGGTCCCTGTCGCCAAACGTTACAATTAAAATTATTTAAGGAATTAAACTCTCCCACAAATTTGTCTTTATCCTAAGTTTCATTTCCCCACTAAACTTATTTCTCTTCCGACAGACGGAACCGTTACTGGAGAAGTTCCGAGGTCTTCAGATTCAACAAATGTAAAAATTTTGGGGAGGGGTCATTTTCTGACCGATAGCCGTACTGTTACCTGTTCTTTCAACGTATGTTCTCTTTGAAAACCATTCAAACATCTCTTACACAATTCTCTCATTCCTATTATATAGTATATAAAATTAATTATTAAAAATTGTAGACCGGTATTGTGACCGTGTCACAAGTAATTGCTGATTTATAACTAATTTCACAGCATATTTTAATGTATTTTCAATTTAATTTTAGGTTAAGATTTGCTTTTTGGCAAAAGGGCCTACCAGTCTTTCAGTTTAAGAATTTTATTCTTTCCTATTTTTTTTATACGCCATTTAAATTATTATCTTCTTTTTTTACATTATGAAATTAAAGAAATATATAACGAAAATACCGAAAATTGTTTCGTAAACAAACAGCGAATTTCTCTTTTATACAAATTATTTATGCAGAAACGAATTCCTCATTATGCAAATTAATCTTCTGACACTTTTGACATAAGCCCACAGTTATAATTAAAAGAAATTCTTCCAGAAAAATAAACACTTACGTTGAAAATATTGGAAAAATTATAATTTTAACTTTATAATTCAATTAATTACAGTTATTATTTTGCTTATCTTTCGGACTTAAAAATTGAGGCATCGTATTAACGAGGTTCGTACTTGAAAGAGATTCACTTTGGTAGAACAACGATTAAAGCGTGAACAGGCGTAAAACCAGGTACACGTGTATCGTATACCTAAACACATAGATGAAAAAACTAACAGTTCTGTTATTCACGCGTTTTGGTATATCTGTCAGGTAAATCTTTATTTAACACAGATATTTGTTTACTAATGGATTAAAACGTGGAAAAGTGAAAAAAAATCATCGAAATAAAAGATTCCTTCATCTATAAAAAAATGTACAATCTTGACTCACTTTTTATATCGTTTTCTTTCTTTTCTCGGGTAAATTTCTGCACTTTTAATTTGAAGTAATAAAGGTGAATTTCGTGTGGCACCGAGGACCACTCCCTGAAGAATTTGTGTCGATACTGTTTTTTCACTTCTCCAATGTTTGTTTGTTTGTGTTTGTTCGAAAGAGGAAATATTCATTTTCTATAAAAGTTTTTCAAAGAAAATCGTAAATGAAATTATTAGAAAGATGACTATTCGATTTTCAAAGCCTTACACGAAAGAGATGTGGCGATAAACATATACAAATAATTGTTTAAATTTCATTTCTCCAGTAAATATTTAATCGTTAGATTCACAGTTTACTGAATAAATGAAGTTTAAACAAAATGACCGCTTGCTTTAACCACATTTTATTCAAAAATGATTTCATATTTTTATTGAGCTTGTATTGATTTAAACTATAAATCGACACCTTTAATCCAAATGATTATATTTAAACAAAACAAATATATATAATACATTCACTTATGAAAGTAAATTTACAGTAAACGTATACCTGAACTAAACGAGAATCCAAGAAAGGCTTTTAATAAACCAAGGATTTGTTTACGCGTCTATTAAAATAAGTCCACATCTGTACACAAAGAGCTTCCTGGAAAGAACTGTCTGTTCCGTTAAGCGTTTTACTTCGATGACCCTTTGGAAGAGCGCTGCAGTTCTTCTCTCTTTTGAAGAAGGTCCTCGTATCTTTTTTGCAACATTCTCTCTCGGTCTATCTGTCTGTTCACGTCTTCGGTCAATGACTAAAATTGTTATAAGAAAATACTCTGATTAGCAAAATAGTTTTTAATTTGTATAAGTTTTTCTGGTCAAATAAACCTTTTTGCTGCCGTGCGAGGCTACGTGACATTAGTGCAAAATGTACGTTTAAACCAGTCTCGATATTATTATAAGAATTTACCTCTACTCTTTTGGGAATGGCCAATCCTTCGTGGTCCCGCAGAGTCTCGAAAGTTTTTAGTTCGAGATGAGTCTGTTCCACCTGTTCTGCCAGGTCCTGCAGTTGTTTTATCAATGCTTGTCCTCTCGACTGTGAAGAAATTACACTTTCAAAATGAAGAACTTACCATATGCAATTTTTATATTTAAAAGAGTAAAATTATATGGCTTTTGTGTCTTATTTACTAGTTTATAAACACATCTAAAAGCAACTGTGCTCAGAGAAAATTGATAAAATGAAAATACCAATTTTATATTTAACTGGTTTTTTAACCGATATTTACACAGTAAAATATTTAGAAGAAACTAAAATATATTCACTTTTCATCACTGTTTCAGGTGACCAAAATGACAAAAAAGTAAAGACAATTTAGCTTCTTCTATGAACAATACTTTATTGCATATTTTCTCTGTAGTTACTGTGTGAGAGTAGTAGTTATTTTATTTGCATGTATCCATTCAATGCCCATTATTAATGAAATATTTATGTATTTATTTATGAAAGTTTGATTTTTAAAACAAATTATACTTGTAGTGGCAACTGTTATCTTCCTTTATAACAAGTGTAACATTGTGTATTAGTAATAGGAAAATAATTTAAAAATTTACCCAACTGTACAGTACATTGTATATTTTACATATTTCATTTTCTATTAAAGTTAGTTGAATAAATATGGTACCTACCTACTATATGGTTTCTGTTGTTTTTACATTGTTTCCCTCAGAGTTTTCAGAAATTCTCAAATAATACATAAAATTTAGTTTATTTTACTTTAATTGGTTACATGTGGGTGATCTGATGAGAATGGCTGCCTCCTGAGAGAATTTTTTGTGGGAAACTGGCCCATTTCCAGGTGTTACAAATGTGAAGAAAATCTGAAAAACTCCACATAGCCAGCCTGTTGGCCAAGCTCAAACCCACCACTAAGTACCAGTGTTTGGTGGTTTTATCCACTCGGCCACTGGTGGGCAATATTAGACACTGCTATTATTCAAACAGAACCAGTAGTAGTAATTTCAAAAATAAAATGATGTCAGACTAATAAAATCAAATGTAAATTTAACTAGAAAAACCTGATTTTTTCCACAGTATATTAAATAAGCCTATAATTCTGATATTCTGCTTCATTACTAACTAAGTACTTCAGAATGAACACGGACTATTGAAAATATAGAATACTATCCATATTCTACCAATAGAATCAAACACAAACTCAGCAAAACATTTTGATTTGATTATTCTGATGTAATAGAAGATAAGTAGCCAATCACTTAATATTTTATAAAATCTATTGGCTTATTAAATTATCTTTTTCTCTTTTGTACACTGAATAAAATAATAAATTAACTTATATTCTTAAAATTAGTTGGATTAAAAATATCTAATTTCAAATATAAATTAATTTTTACATTTTACATCAAACAGTTATAAATGCAGCATCTCAGACTGACATATGTTTTCTTATGTCAATTTTAACATTCTTTGACTAATATAAATTTGAAACTTAAACAAACAAAAAGCATATTTCATACATGTATATAAAATTCTTTATATTTTAGGGCTAATTAAAGTATTACCTGATAACCTCCGGTGAGAATTCGAAGTTTTTTCTCTACTTTGGCAGCTTTCTTAGCTTCTTTTGTCATGTGACCTCGATTTTGCTGAAAATAAATTATTATTATTCTTAACACAAATAACATACAGTAATTCCTGATCTAACTTAAATTTTATTCTTTTACTCTTAATTGTAGCAGTTTGTTTTTAACCCTTTCCATTTTGTACACACCAAATGGTCTTTTTATCATACCTGTTATGGATTTGCTAGACCCACAATGGGAGCAATTATTGAGGAATAGGTTCTAATGTATCTGGATCAAGCTCTTTATGAAAATTTCTGAGAAACTGATTCAGATTGATTCTGACATAAGCATGAACAAATAACAAATAATTATAAATTATTAAACTGTAATAAAGTTTAATATATTCAATTTTTCATTTGTAATTTAATTTGTATACATTAATAATCATAAAATACAAAATAAATATTCTTACTATGAAAGATCAAACACTCCAGATATTATTAGAATATTCTGTATTAACAGTTTAATTTAAAGCAATAAAGTATTTAAATTTTTTTTATAAATAACACAAATATTTAAGTTTTATTAAATCAACATCTATGATAGAATCTAAAAAGTAGTAACAGTAGCATGAAATATTTGCATAAATTTCTATATAAAACACACAGTTTGAAGATCCAAACAAACTATTTATTTTGAAACATTTCTAAGAAATTATAAATGACTCATCTTTGGTTTTACATTATAATTTTAATAGAAGTTATGTCAAGTGTCATATAATATATTTAGAAGAGCAAGAAATTTAAACAGATGTATGGTTAACTTTCAATTTAAAAGACTAATTGAGGGAAGGGGTTGTCAACTATTCCATAAGACCATTAAATCAAATGCACAGCATTCATTTACTCACATTTTTGTGCATCAAATTTAATATTTCCACAATTTTGACTGGCAACATTTTCACTGGTGAGTCAGTTTGTAACTCACTGAAATTTGACATTTCAACTATAGGTATGCCATGTCTGATATATGAGAGCATGGGATCAAGAATGCAAATACTGTATGACATATGGAGTAACAATCTAACCAAAGTTCTGCTGCCCTTCATTGGGTAAAAGTTAAGATGTGCACGACTCGAATGAGCATAGGCTAACCAAAATGGCTCTGAAAAGTTGTAACTTCATCAGTAGGCAGGCTCAAAGGGCACAAGTCTTTTGATAAGGGCTGCCAAATGGGCATATAAATGCCTAGGTTTCTAAATTCTAGGTGAGAAATGACAAGCTAATTTTTTTTTACATCCACAGCAATTGTGGATGAATTCGCAACAAATTTTCACCTTTCCAAAAAAAAAAAAAAAAAAAAATAACTAAAATTGCAAAAATTAACATATAAATATGAGAATTTAGTCAAAAATTTCCCAAAATTTAGTGCACAATGGGCACAAAAGATATTTTTGGGCGTAGGACAATGAAAGAACTTGGCCACCCCAAGTCTTATTTGTAAGTATGTACCAGTGCTGGATTTCTTAACAGTTGTAATATCTACAATATATTTCAACTTGTAATATTGTACAAAATATGTGCATTTTTTGAAACTGACTGATGTGACTCGTGAATTTCTTAGGTTTGTAAATGTGAGTCAACTTAATGAGTCATTATAACTCACAAAATTTTTAGACTAGCATATGATCTGCAAATGCATTTTAAAAACATATATTAATAGACAGTATTTACTAATAGTCCCAATGTGCAAAAGAGTTCTTACATTCTTTAGCAGTTACTCAGTGTCCTATATAGATCTCATTGTCCACCTTCCCTTTTGTACAAGCTATGTAATATATCTTCTATACCAAAAGGTACTATGGTTACTGTCTCAATGAATGAAAATAGTGTGGTCTTATTATATGCTTTTACCATAAGCTACCACATCTGTATCCATATTTCTACTTTAGCTTAATGTTAATGTAGTGCATTTTTGGGACTCAACTTATGTGGTAGGTATAGGTAGATCCCAGAATTTTGAGCAGAAAATCTTGAGGTTAATTTACATGTTGGCCTATACCAGGGGTCGGCAGTTTGTCAAGTGAGAAGAGCCAAATTGTCATGAAAACAGGATAACAAAAGTACCAGAGAGCCGCATATTAATTTAAATGTGCAAAATACGACACACGACAGAGGTGCCTCTAGTGGCCGTTTTTGGCATAACGTTACACGGATGGACGGACATGCGTTCAATGGGTTATATATATAGATATACTTCAAATGCTACCACTCTTATGCGACTCATATTGATCAACGCAAGTGTGGTCATGTGCGGATGGAAAACAAGTCAAAGTTTGTTCGGCGGCTCTATCTCATAAACTCATAAGTTATAAGGCTGCGGTGAAATGAGGTGAGATGAAATTGGAGTTTATGTCCAAAGAGCCGCAAACATCTATGCAAAGAGCTGCATGCGGCTCGTGAGCCGCTAATTCTGACCCCTGGCCTATACAATATATGTTGGTTTGGCAATACTTTAATGCTGCTTCTGTGTATGTGACATTGAGTACATACAATTCTCAATGATGGATGATTTATCTACTTTAGAATTTGTGGAGAATTTCAAGTTTTTAGAAGTTATAGCCAAAAAAATAACTATGTAGTAGTAGCCATATCTGAGCCCAATATAATCAATCTGGCAGTTCATTTGGCATTTATCAAATAATTGGGTTAATCATTGTTTATATTTGTACAGTAGATCCCCCTATAAAACCGTTTCCTATAGTTATGATTCCTATAAAAATTGTGGCATTATCCGTAAACAACGGTAAAAATAACTCCTATAATACGTAAAACGTCATCGGGCAGCCGAACTACTTACCCGCCGTCCGTAGCGCCACGCTACGGAGAGATTTCTATCGTCTGGACAGTATTATATAAATTATATATAAATTAGGTACTGTACATATAATTATATATTAATTATATATAAATTAGGTACTGTATATATAATTATATATTAACTTAATTTATTGTAACTTTATTATAATTAAATATATATTTTTCGCCGTCTAGCGTCACGCTACGGCGAGTTAGGCGACCTATCGTCTGTTTAGTACTGTAATTTTATACATTTCTTGTGAAAGAAACATTTCTTATTTAACGGCCATAAAAATTATTTATATTAATGATGTCTCCAAAGGTCAACGAAGTTTTCGCAGAAAAATAATATCAGAAATCG